ATTTGTACTGCTCCATGGGCAGCACTGCCTTTAGGATATCTCAGCTGACAGTAATCCCTGGGGAATAGTTGAGGAAGGCAGAAAAATTAGAAAGACTGTCTAAAAACATCAGTAACCTAATCAACACACCACACTGTTGAGCCAGCCAAAAGCCTTAGTAGGAATATTGTTGTTCATTAGCTATGATCCCATAGGARTATGATTTTTATATTATCTAACAGTTACAGACATTAACATTGGGCTAGCTTAGTGATTTTCAAACTTTAGCATTAGGAATATCCCCCAGAGGGCTTGTGAAATACAGAGCCCTGGTCTCTACCCCAGGATATTCTAATGTGGAGGATCTAAGGTGAGGCCCAAACCCAGGAGTTGCCTCAGTTGCCATTCAGCAGCTCCTAGGTTGCTAAATCCTAAATAGCACTGGCCCAAAGCCTGTTTTCTCACTGTATAGACAAACCATTTATGTAGGTTGGTGGAAGGACTGAAACCTGCTCAACACTAAAGAATACAAGTAGAAGGAATGAGTCTGGAACAAAGAGAAAATCTCCCTTCTAAACGCAATTGAAATGTTGCTTCTCTCAGTGTGCTACCCTTCCTAGGTTACTGCACTGGATGAAATTTGTCCCCCCAAAGGGGTTGGAGTCTTGTCTCCCTGTACCTGTAGATGTGACTTTATTTGGGAATAGGATCCTTGCAGATGACCAAGATAGGATGCAATTGTTAGGCGGGCTCTAATTCAATATGACTAATGTCCTTATAAAAAGGAGAAATTCAGAGGCAGAGAGATTAGGAGGGAGGATCATGTGAAGACACAGAAAGAATACCATTAGAAGCCAAGGAGAAAGGGCCGGACCAAGCCTTGGAAAGAATAAATGCTGCTAAAACCTTGATCCTAGACTTCCAACCTCCAGAATTGAGACACAATACATTCCTATTAAGACCCTCAGTATGTGGCCATGTGGCAATGTTTTTACAGAAGCCCATAAAATTACTAGTTCTTGAACAGGCTTTATACATTTTAAGTAAACATATGCATTGTATTATTTCAAAGTTATTTACAGTGATCTAAAGAATATTTTTGATACTCTTGTTATATCAACACAGAAAAGTAGGACCTGTCAAATAAAAGTCTGTTTAGGGTCATGTCCAAATCAAGGCTGGAGTGACGACAGTGGAGAAGATGATGTGTGGCAGACCACCTCCAGGTACCTGGTGTTGGTGATGCACCTGGAGACTCATGATACTGAAGTTTTTCAGTGTTTTCCTCTTGAAAATAAATTTCCTAGCAGAATTATTTATGAAGACTTAAAAATACAGAATAAAAATATCTCCCATTATCCTTAAACTTCAAAATTATTGTGAGAATCAGCTAGATAGACAGTGCTGCCAATGCTTTAATCTTCTGGGAAGAAAGGGATTATGTAAGTATGTTTGGCCTTTCAACCAAGTACAGATCAAAAATATCCAGTAAAAAAATAGTGCCTTTACTGAACATATAGAGATTATATTTTGTTGTCATTCATCAAACAATATAGTATAAGAATTATTTACATAGCATTTATATTGTATTCCATGTTATAAGTAAGTAACAGAGATGATTTACAGTACATGACAGGATATACATAGGTGGTATGCAAGTACCATGCCATTTTATATAAAGGAAATGGGTAACTGTGGATGTGGGCATCTGTGGGGATCCTGGAACCAATCCCCTAAGGATACTGAGGGACAACTCTATGTGTTCTTGCCATYATTATTTTGAATTTTGAAATTGAAAACAAGGAATAGCATTTGTCTATGAAGACATTGATCTGACAGATCTTCTATAATGCCAATAGAACACCATGGGTGATCCTCTACCTGGTAAAAATGGCAACCACATTTAGCAAGCAGTTGTGTTTTATGAATATTTATCAGTCTGTTAACACCTCACTAGATGCTGGATATGGCCAGAAAAGCATTCAGAGAACAACACACCCCAGCCATAGGYCCAATGTGATCTCTTGTGTTTGCAGGCTCCAGCTATCCCACTCCCCTCTCAGTGTTTTTTTACTCCACAGCAGTGCTGCACAGTTACATACAGGAAATAGTCTCATCCACCCTTCCTGCACCTTCCTGCAGTCCTTCATCATGACCAGTGGTTTAAGTTTTCCCTCTGAAAATTGGAGTTTAGATAAATGAATAAATACATGGCCATAATAAAATGTTTTATTTACTTTTAAAAGATTATGAAAAAGCTCGCCAACAAGGTAAAGTTAGTCACTTATCATGAAGCTGCTTTAGGGTAAGAATAAGCTCACAGTACCTCCTTTTAGATCTGTCAGGTCTGGACCTGAGTGCCATTGACCTTGAATTTCTAACGGAGAGAGGGAAGACCTGGGAATTCCCTTAGTAAGAAGTGGATTATCAGGTCAGAGCTTCCCAAACAGAAAYAATATTTCTAAGACCACTCTGGGGATCTTAAAAAGATGATGTGAAGCTAAGAATATTATTAAGAAACATTGAGTAACATGAAAGCCACCTGAATTGAATTAATCTTCAGGGACAAAAGGCCAACTCTCGCTACCAGTAGATAAACTTCTGTAGGTACAGGCAATTTTGTTTTTGTTTTTATACTTGGAGACATGACAACATAAGAATATGACTAACAAATAAGAGAATAATATAAAAAGAATGCTATAGTCTGGGTCTAAAATTTTCCTTAAAGGCTTCTGTGTTAAAGATWTGTTCCCCAGAGTGGTGCTGTGGGAGACGATGTAACTTTAAGAGGTAGGCCTCATTGGGAGGAGGTCTTCATGGAGGACATGGCATTGAAAAAGTAATAGGACTCCAGATTGTTCTTCTGGAGACTTCCCAGCCATGAGGAGAGCCGTTTTACTCCACCATGTGCTTTTTTGCCATGTTGTGTTGCCTAATTATTGGCCCAAAATTATGGGGACGATTGATTATAGGCTAAACCATCAACCAAAATAAATCTTTTCTCTTTATAAGYTGATTTTCACAGGTACWTGTTACAGTAATAAAAAGCTGATTTACACAAAAGTTATTCACTTGTTTTTACTTCTTTTTCTCCTTTTCTAGTAAATACATATTTTAGTACTAATGAATCCATTTCATGGTTYTCATAATCTGGATCCAGCCAACAATTGACAGCTATCCTCTTGTTAGGTCTGTGAGGTTGATACTGTAATGGTAGATTTATAATGGCTAGCAATGCTTGGAAGATTATATAATGAACATATGAGTGGGATTTTTTTTAATCATCCAAAGGAGGTTTTTGCTTTTTATAAGAATAACCATAAAAATTTTGGGGAGGTTATTATACAAATGTTTATGGTTGTGAAACTTTTTTGGTACTAGGGATTAAACTCAGGGGTATTTAACTGCTGAGTCACATCCTTAGCCTTTACGCTTTTTTTTTTTTTTTTTTTTTTTGAGACAGGGTCTTGCTAGGTTTCTTAGGGCCTCACTAAGTTGCTGAGGCTGGCTTTAAACTTGCAATCCTTCTGCCTCAGCCTCCTGAGTCACTGGGATTATAGTCGAGCACCACCACAGTTCTGAAACTTTTGAAGACCATGGATTTAGATCCATTCTAATTTCTTTATGGGTCACAATCACATTAACACATTAATTATTCAGATGATCACTTCAACTCCACGGCTCCCTCTGTTGGCCACTTCCCTGAGCTAGTATTCCTTTTCAGTTGATTTCAATACCCCTRAGCCAATTGTTTCCATTTCCTTTTGTTTAACATCTTCTTGCCAAGAACACCGGGAAGGGAAGATCAGCTTCCAAATTTGGCATTTAAATACAGAATAATCCTCTATTTGGTAAAACTCTTGCAACTTTACACCCCACTAGTCTGCAGGTACAGKGCAACCTCTCAGAGTGTTGGAGACTCATAACTGGGAAGAAACTTCTTTAAAACATTTCTTTTCATGCTGCCACAACAGTTCATTTAAGTAAGTTATGATCTTCTTCTAACCCTGTCATTGTTAAATATTTAAATATAGATCCTACAACTTCACCATCATGACAAACATAGGAAATCTTTGGTTTTCTTCTTTGATCAGGTAGCTTTGTCAGGACCATTCTTAATGTATAAATGGATCTCGATTTTGCAATTGTACCAAGAATTTGTAGTGTCCTTCAAGCATATTTACAATTMGTTGTAAAATCTGACACCTTAATCTAGTCATCAATGAAGTAAATTATCATAGGATTTTAAAAGTGAACAAATTACTCATATTAACAAAAAATATCTGTAGAGAAGTTGACTCTAACCTTAAACTACACCTGACATCCTGCCCAAATATAGTCAGTTGCAAACTAGTGGRCCATAGGAATAAGTAAATACCAAAAATGAAAAGCAGWCACAAACATAAAACATCAAAATTAAAACATATTAATATGCAAAGTGTCTCTTTTCATCTAATTATATGCTTTATAGTATGCATAAATGATCACTTAATAAAATAAAATTGGTAGGTAATTATTGTGCTCAATCAATTAAAAAAGAAATTCAAAATTTAAAATGAAATGGCCATAAAAAGAAGAAGCTAGAAATAAAAACTCAAATGACATTTCACACCAGCTCCTTTTATTTGCAAGTTCTCAGTGGTGTTTGATTCTTAWCATGTATGTGGAAAGTTTCAGAACTCTCACCATTAGTATAATTGGTTTAAACAAATATGGTATTGAAAATCTTAGGTTTATAAATAATGCAGACACAGTTCCAATTCAAAAGTATAAATCAATTCTAATTATCCCTCTTTCATCCCAATTAAAACACATAAAATATTCTCACTTTTGAATTAGTTGTTTTGTCTCAGATGTCACTTGTGTGTATCATGGTTGCCCTAACACAATTAGTTGAAAACATACACATGAAAGGATTCGACATTAAGTTGCTGACTATATATAGCCTTAGACCTCAGGGGGGTAAAAAGTAAGTAAAAAAATATTTATTTGAGAGCTATACCTTTTTAATTAATTCCTACCTGCAGAAGTTGTCACGATTTCYGTGGTGTTTCTGAGGCCCATGAAGTCAAACTGATAAAGCCGCCATGATTTCTGGTCAGCTGCCTCAACTGAATTTTTTCTCCATCTATAAATCATTTCTTCTTTTGGGTAGCCATCTAAAAACATAGACCAAGATATCAGCACTTGGAGATGAAGGTTTATAAATTGCTAATGTCAAATTGTAATTCTGCTCACTTTTAAAAAAAATTTGTTCTTATTAGTTACCCATTAGTGTAATGTGTTTTGACATATTTTACATACATGGAGTATAACTTCCCGTTCTTCTGGTTGTACATTATATGGAATTACATTGATTGCGTGATCATATATGCATATAGGAAAGTAATGTCTGATTCATTCTACATTCTTATTCCCATTCCCCCTCCCTTCACTTCATTCCCCTTTAATTCTGCTCATGTAACAGGACTTAATATTTTAGGTCATGCTTGTTCTCCAAATTTTTTTCAGAGACATGGAAACTCCAACAAAAAGATAATGCCACCTAACCCTGGGGCAGATCTTCATGATCAGAAAGGTGTTCTTTAGCCACAAGCCTGGCCATGGTCCATGGATGCAGTAAATGGGAGGTSATTATCTTCATGTCTTAACCTTGKAAAGCCAGTGGCTACACTTGACCTTTCAAGAGTGAAGGTGCCTGTCAATATGTCACTGGCTCTCAGCCACCACAGATCTAACTGCATGGCCCACATTCATCACACCTTTCCCCCTTTCCCAGAATTTTAGGCATCCAGATAAATCCAGGAATGATAAGTTTCATAAGGCAATCACTCCCAGATTCAAGAGATCAGCTGWCTCCCAGAGCTTCATATGGTTTGGAGGTGGTACCCCCCACACCAYCACATTCATGTGCTGGACGCTTGGTCTCAGTGTCACAGTACTTTAAGAGGTGGGGACTCATGGGAGGTCATAGGGCATTATCCTCATGAATAGATTAATGCCTTTCTCAAGACTGGTATGTTCTCTCAAGACTGGTTAAGTCTTGGGGGAGGGAGTCAAGCTTCAAGAGGCTGGATCAGTTAGCACAGGAATGGGTTGTTAATAAAAGTGTATCGTCCTTTTTCTCTCACATACATGATTCTTTCCCACACCCCCACCTCCTCTTTCTACTGTTTTTCATGATCTAAAGCAGCATGAGGACCTTACCAGAAGCTGAATAAACAGGCTATACTCTTGAACCACCAGAACTGTGCTCTCAGCCACCACAGATCTAACTGCATGGCCCACATTCATCACACCTTTCCCCTTTTCCCAGAATTTTAGGCATCCAGATAAATTTTCTTTTTCTTCCAAATGATCCAGCTTCATTTTTACAGCAACAGAAAACCAAGTCAGTGCTAATACGATTAGTCTCCAGTTTTGATTAGCAAACTTTGACCTCTTCCAGAGAACAATTCCTGTAATGTTACTTACCCCTGGAAGCAAGATCCTGGTGCTTCTGTTGCCGTAGGCTAACACTGGTGACCTTCCTAGAGCTGAGGCATCAGGTTTTGTGGCTCTGCCCCATTTCTGATGGTGTTCTAGGTTTCCATGGCTTTCTAAGCCTGAGCTAGATATCAGCCAAGTGTCTGCTTCCCTGACTACATTCCTAYGTGTGGGTTCCCAACTACGAATCACACTTGGACAACACCATTCACTCTGTTTGAAAAGGTTGACTTGGTATGCGTGCATCTGTTAGAAGTTCTGTCTCATCTCCAGGCTCTGCAGCTGGTTCTGCTCAATGCCTCACTCCTAGGAGCAGGCCTCAGTCCTAGTAGTTACCCAACACCCAACAGTATTGGCATTACTGGCCTTTTGCTAATCAACAGACACTGACGTCAGGATTCTGGAAGGAAGAAGCGTTTACACCATTTGTTATCCTGAACACAGAGAGCACTGATGCACACATAATTATGCAAAAATTTTAATAAGTGGTTGAACATTGCTGGTTAAACATTTGTAAAACTCTTACAATCTACCTTCTTGATTGTTTTCCCCTTTCTGCCTGACATTGTTGGCTCCTTCATTGAAACAGTGAAATGGAACACAGACATACCTCTACTTTCTGTGTGTTACCCTGTAAAATTACTGTCAACATAGCAGGACACTTTATCCTAACTTGATGAGGTGCAGCTCAAGGCTCTCACGCTTAGACTGAAGCATTTCTATGTAGTCATGAAACATTTTACTTGGCTATTTGCCATTGTCCTGATTGACTTAAATCCTTAATAGGCTGACATACTTAAAAAAGATACTGCATGCTTCAATTCTTTTAAATTTATTTTTTTAAATAACTTTACTGAGATGTAATTCACACATTAAATGTGCACAATCTGGTGACTTTTAGTATGTTATGAGAGGTGCAACCATTATCATACTCTAAATTAGAATAGTTTTATCCCTCCAAAATCAAACTTCATTAGCACTGACTGCATATTTCCCCACCCCACACCCACCTTGAAACTCACCTAGTCTCAGGTAACCATTAATATATTTTGTCTGTATAGACTTGCTCATTCTGTTCACTTCATATAAATGGAATCATAAACATGTAATCTGTAATTGGCTTCTTTCACTTAGCCTAATGTGCTCAAGTTCACTCATCTTGTAGCATACATCAGTGCTTCGTTCTTATTTATCACCAAACATTTCATTGTATGAATATACCGTTTTTGTTTATTCACTCATCTTTGACAGACATTTTGGTGGAGTCACTCTTTCATTATTATGAATAGTGCTGTTATGAGCATTTGTGTATCGGATTCTGTGTTGCCMTATGTGTCGTTATCTTGGGTATACACGTAGGAGTAGAAATGTTGAGTCAGCCTAACTCTATGTTTAACACTTTGAGAAACTGCCAGACTGTTTTAAAAAACAACTGCACCTTAAAATCCTACCAATGATATAGGAGGGTTCCAATTTATTCATATCCTCTCCAACACTTCATTAATGTCCGTGTTTTTGATTATAAAATTTGTAGTGGGTGTGAGGTGAGTCTTACTGTTGTTTCATTTTGCATTTCCCTAGTAACTGATAATATTGAGTATATTTTCATGGTTCTATTGGCCATATGTGTCTTCTTTGGTGAGGTGTATGCTCAGATCTTTGGCTCATTTTAAATTAAGTTGTTTTTATATTGTTGACTTTTCAGAGTTATTTATGTATTTTGGCTACAAGTCCTTTATCAGATATATGTTTGCAAATATTTTCTCTCATTTTCTGGCTCATATTTTTTTTAAGCAACTGGATATTTTTATTATGGTTATTATACACACACACACACACACACACACACAYATATATATATATATAAATTTACCATTTTAACCATTTTAAGTGCACGTTTCTGTGCACTTAAAATGGTTAAAATGATAAATTTAATAATATATATGTATATTATATATTAATTAATTCACATTAATGCATTTATATGACTATCCATCTTCAGGTTTCCTTTTCTTTTTAATTGACTTTATATATTGGAGAATTTCTAGGTTCACAGAAATTTAACAAAAATTACAGAGATAACCCATACACCCCTTTCCCACTATCAACTTCCTTTATCAGAGTGGTTACACTTATAACACATGATGAGACTACAGTGACATGTGGACTCAACCAGAGTCTACAGTTTTAGATTAGAATTCGTTCTTGTTGTCTACTCTTTGGGTTTGGACAAAAGCATAATGACATGTATCCACCATTATAATATGCTACAGAGTAGTTTCACTGACCTGCATGTCCTCTATGTTTCATTTATTCATCCCACCTTCCACCCTTTACCACTGGAAACCACTGGTATTTTTATTGCCTTCATAATTTTGTCTTTCTAGAATATCATATAGTTGAACTCATTCAGTGTAAGGCTATTTCATGTTGGTTTATTAGCAATATGTATTTAAGTTTCTTTCATATTTTTCATGGCCTGAATACCTATTTCTTTTAATGTTGAATAATATTCCATTTTCTGGATGTACCACATTGTATTTATCTATTCGAATACTTAAGGACACCTTGGTTGCTTTAAATTTGGGCAATTATGAATACAGCTGTTTTAAACATGCATGCTCAAGCTTTTGTGTGGATGTAGCTGGTGTTTTGATATCCTCGTTTTCATTTTTGAAGGAAAGATTTGCCAAGAATAGAATTATTGGTTAACAGTAATTTTCTTTTGACAGTTTGAAATGTCATTTAATAGTCTTATGGCCTCCCTAGTTTCTAATGAGAAATATCTTGTTAATTATGTTTCAAATTACTTGTGATACATTGCTTTTGTCTTGCTGTTTTCAGTTTTTTCTTCCTTGACTTTAACATTATTAACTTGATTATGATGTATGAATATCAATCTCTTTAAGTTCATTCAAGTTTCTTAAGTATCTTAGATTAACAGACTGTTTTTGTCAAATTTTTGGTCATTATTTCTTCAAATAATTTTGGGCCTTCAAATAGTTTTGGACCAGTTGCCTTGTTCTTGTTTGAGACTTACATTATGTGGTTGTTGATAGGCTTTATAATGTGCTACAGACAGGTATGTGAGTTTCTGTGCCTATTTCTCTATTTGCTTTCCACTGGGCAATTGCTTTCACTGGGCAATCTCTGTTGTCCTATCTTCAAGTTTTCTGATCCTTCCTTCTGTCTTCTCAGATTGTTATTATGCTCAGCTAGTGAGTTTTCTACTTTAGACATTGTACTTTTCAATTCCAGAATTTCTATTGGGTTCTTCTAAAAGTTGTTTGTCTTTTCACTGATTTCACTTATTTTGTGAGATATTTTGTCATACTCTCATTGAATTCTTTAGATATGGTTTCTTTTAGTTATTTGAGTGTATTTAAGCTAGTGGATTTAAAACTTTTTTCTAATATATCAACGTCATGGATTCATCAATGATAATATCTATTACAGGACTTTCCCCTATGTATGTGCCACATGTTTTTTTGTTGTTATTGTTTTCACGTTTTGTAATTATTTTGTTGTGAAGTAAACATTTTAGAAAATATATTTTGATAACTTTGATATCATATCCCTTCCTGCATTCCAGGGTTTTTTTTTGTTGTTCCTGGGGTTTGTTTATATTGTTTTTCTTCCTGCTTCTTATTTGCTAAGTGATTATCCCAGACTG